CACACATAAAAAGCTCTCATTCACCTCCAGCAATGTTTTGTACTCAAACGCTCACTTACACCTAGATTTAAGCTGGAAATGTTGACACTTACATGCTAGAAATAGTAATACCTACAAAATACAGGAAGTGAAGTTACAGCAACCCATTAGTTCCTGAGTAAATGTAGTCATTCTGATAGCATGGTTACTCGCTAGACAGTAGAATGTACCTTTTTTGATTACAGTTACCCAATCCATAATCAGATGTTAAACAGGAGAACTGCCTAAAGACACCATCACTCTTCCCACTTTCTCTGCTACAATCGCCCAAGTCACATACTGAGAGCGGACAACTTAACTGACAAGTAACCCCGGGGAAAAGAGCCTTTCTTTAGTCAATCCACCACTCAATGACCCAAACACCTATGTCAGCGTAATAAATGAACGGAACACAGAAACCACCAGCTGGGACTAGGAACAGCTGGGACTTATGCAGCACTGCCACCAATGAATTACATGTGAGACTTCACTTCAAAATAACAGGAAATAATGAAAGTATACGCCGGAGAACAAAACAAAACAAAGGGCAAGGGGGTAGAATTTCTTCCTCTGCCGCAGGCACTTCAAATGGCTCAGCCTAAATCACATAATCTAAGACAAAATTCTAGACATGATAAAAGACTAAAAAGCAGGCTACTATAAAAAAGTGTCAGTTTGAAATGTGCAAACACTCTGAACAGAGGAAAAATATATGAGTGTGTTACTTAAGTACAAAGAAAAACACTCCATATTATTTTTATGCACAAAACTGACATGACCTAAACAGGAAGTTCAGCTATACTTGAATTAAAAGCACAGCTACTTCACTCAGTTCAGCACCCTGCAAACACAAAGGTTTAAGAATCACTTATCACTGATTCTAATCATGGGAAATGTGATCACCCGGAAAAGCCTTAAACATACAAAATAACCATCTCCAATTGCTACTTAACAGCCAAAGACAAATATATTATATCCTTCAACCTGTTAAAAGTCACCAAACTATACTTGGAACCTTTTAACAGCTTGAGGCAATTTCGACTTTCACCGTTTTCATGAAGTTTCTCATCACAATAGCAGTAAAATCCTCTGTACGAAGATCTGTTTATGACGTTCTCTTCAAGGAAGGCCATAAAGTTTATTTATTCTTTTAAAGAATGTCATAGCACATTTACTAGGATTTATAGATGATTGCGATGATATAATTAAGCTGCAATGAAACAGGAGACACTGAAGAAAACCAGGAAAGGTTTTCTAGCATGCCACGGAAGCATCATTACGTTGTCCATGCCAAAAATTATCAAAACATCAACAGATGTTCTTAGCAGAAGATTTTAGACACAGGACATCTTCTCTCAGGGAAAAAAGAAGAAAGAAAGAAAAAAAGAAGAGAAAGCACACTGGAGAACTCATGGAATGCTAGAGAAATTGGCAATTATCCACAAAGTTGGCCAAGAGAAAAAACAAAGAGAAGTGTAACTTCAAGACTATTCCATAACTGGTAAATAAGTGTCCTCCGCAGTTTTCCTTCCTGGAAACTTCTATCATACAGTTACACCTTGCAATACAAAACCTGCCATAGAGAAGTCATGGTAAAGAAGGAGTAAAAGCATACAATGTAAGAGACATTCTGACAGTTGTACTTGCCTGCCAAAAAAGACCCAGTAGGTCATGAATGATAAGTTACTCAAAATTGATTCCTTACATTAAAAGCACTACTACAACAGAAGTTTTAGAGCAAGTACCAAGAAAGGATTTGGTTGTCTGTTACGTTCACCACCGTTCCATTCTTCACCTATGTCTCTCACCTAATATATCAGGTTGAGCAAGTCACTTCACCCTTCTATTCCCCTCAGCCCACAAGCAATACAGAAATCAAACTCAGCTTCTTAGTAAATAGCCTTCAAGATCTTTTCTTAGATTCATTCACTGACTGTATTCCTACTGTAACTGATAATTTACTGATTCTTTAAAAGATATCTATTTTCCTTTCTCTGTCCTTTGGCTTTTTTTTCTTCTTTTTCCCTATTTAGAAAATGTTGGGAAAGACTAATAAAAATTTGAGCAGTGAAGTCATGGAGTTGTCCACCAGCATTAGCAGCAAACTTTCCTATATGACTTTGCCAGTAGACTAACATGAAAGGTCACATTCAAAAGGCTAATGCAAAGATTGCAATTTTACTGTTAACTATAGGATTTACTGAGGGTATTTTTGTATGGAAATGTAACTCCGCTTGAATATCCTTCCACTATTTTCAAATATTAGAAATTAAGACAGATCTCCCAAACACGTGAAAAAAAACGTATTTCTAGGCCAACTGGATACAAAAGACGTATTCAAACACTAGCAGCTAGACCAGTAACTGACTTACCTTAGTTTATAACCATAGCTCTACGTTGGTGCTGTTAGGTCAATGAAAGCACAGCAACAGAAACCAAAATACTTACACAAGTTGAGAAATTGTAGACAATCTCAAACATATGTAGAGAGTTTAAACCAAGAAGCTTGTTTCAAACTGCTTGCAAAGAACATAACTCACCAACTCTCACAACTAACTTGTTTTTCCTCAAATAATTGAGAAAACAAAGTCCAAGATAACAACTGAGACACTGAATGAAAACATGAAATAACTCAAATTGATCCGCCTACACACCTTTAAAATGGTCCAGTTTCCAAAAATCTTGTTTTATTCCAATGTTTGCTAAAATGGATTTATGCATCAACAGAAAACCATAAAATGAATTCCGATTTAAAAGACTAACACACTGATTGCATGAAGTTAAATGTTAATTCAACCATCTCGCTGCTAAGTATCAACATCTCATTTTATTTACAACGCACAAAAAAAAGGAAGGGCATACACTGAAGCTGTAAATTTCTACCTGGAATTAATGATTTTAGTTACGTCAAAAATATTTAAGGTGTGGCTCATATTTCTCATTGTTGTGTCTTGTCTGTGAAAACCAGCACTCAGCTGGAACTAAAACTAACAAGGGATGAAAGGCAAGAAGAAAGGGCTCCTGTACCAGTAGCAAAAGGAAAGCTAAGGAAAAAGTTAGCCCTCTGCTCAATGGGGCAGGAGACCTAGTGACAAAGGAAACTGAAAACTCAATGCCTTTTTTGCCCCAGTTTTCCCTGGCAAAGTCTGCCCTCAAGCCTCCGAAGCCCCTAAGCCTACTAACAAACCCCGCAGGAGTGAAGGATTACTCACAAAGGAAGACGATGGAGTTCAGGAGCACTTCAACAAACTGCAGTTACACAAGTCCATTGGACCAGAAGGGATGCACCTGAGAGTCCCGAGGGAGCTGGCCAGTGCCACTGGGAGGCTACTCTCTTTCACTTTTTTAAAGTTTATGAGACTGGGGGAGATTCCTTATGACTGGAAAACAGATGAACATCACATCCATATTCAAGCAGGGCAAGAAGAAGGAGCCAGGTAACTACAGGCCTCTCAGCCTAACCTCAGTCCATGAGATGATTAAGGAGCAAATCCTCCTGGAAGCTATTACTAGGAGAACAAGAAGGAGATTGGGAACAGCCAGCCTGGATCTACTAACGACAAATCGTGCCTAATCAACCCAACAGGTTTCTACAATAAGATGACTGGCTCAGTGGATGATGGAAGAGCAGAGGACACTGTTCATCTTAATTTTAGCAAGGCCTTCAACATAGTCTCCCGTAGTCTTTCTGTAGCCAAAATGGTGATATAAGGAGACTAAGGGACAAGAAAGCGGTTGGGAAATTGGCTGGACTGCTGGGCTCAAAGGATAGCTATCAGCAGTACTAAGCCCAACTGGCAGCCAGTTACAATAGTATCTCTTAGGCATCAACACTGAGGCCAGTAGTGTTTAAAGCGGTTATCAACGACTGGGACAACGGGATAGAGCGCACTTTTAGCAAGTTTGCTAACACCATCAAACTGGACAAAGTAGTCAATAGCAGGGCTGCTATTCAGAAGATCCTGCACAGGCCGGAGCAACGCACGGACAGGAACCCCATGAAGTTCAACAAAGACAAGTGCCGAGTCCTGTAGCTGGGACAGAATAACCCCATGGGACAATACAGGCTGGCGGCTAACCAGATATTAAGCATCTTTTGCAGAAAGGTACCTGGAGGTCCCAGTGGACAGAAAAGTTGACATCATCAGCTGCGTGCCCTTGCAGCAAAGGTGGCCAAGCACATCCCGAGCTGTTTTAGCAGCAGTCCAGCCAAGGAAGTGATACTTCCCCTCTATTCAGCACTTGCGAGACTGCATTTGGAGTCCTGTGTCCAGATTTGGGCTCCTCAGTGCAAGACAAAGATGTACCAGAGCAACTCCAGCAGCAGCCACTAAGCTGGTCAGAGGGCTGGAGCACACGATGTACAATGTGAGACTGGGGGAAGTGAGTTTGTTCAGCCTGGAAAAGAGAAGGCTCACAGGAGACCTTATAGCTGTCAACTATCTAATGGAAGGGTGTAGAAAAGTCAGAGCCGGACTCTTCCGGATGGTACACAGTGACAAGAGGCAACAGACACAAGCTGGAAAGGAAATTCTGATGAGCTTACACAAGAAAATTCACTGTGGGGTGATCAAACATAGGAACAGGTTGCCCAGAGAGACGGTAAGGTCCAGGGCAACCTTATCCAAGTCAGTTTTGCTTTAAGCAAGGGGTTAGATTAAATGATCTTCAGGAGTCCCTTTCAACCTAATTATCCTATCATTCTATTTCATAAAATTTCATTTAGCAAATCTTGTATCATCTATTTCTACACATATAGGAGATTTTAGTTGTCCTGTGCTTATAGTAAGCACGCATCCGATGGGGTACACAACAGCGTAAACATCCCTTATCCACTCGCCATTAGAACTTCTTTCCTTTTTACTGTCTTGCTTCCAATGAGTCCCCCATAACGAGAGGCAAACGTTTTCAACACCAGAACTGTCTTATACTTTTAAGCTCATTTAGTCTAAAACAAACAAACAAACAAAAAAAAACCATACCTCCTTTGATATCCTGATTCATGTCTGAGGGAGGATAAGATCAGGAACGTAGAAGGCAGTGACCCATCCTGCTTTGTGGTAAAAACTTTAACATTTCCCCTGTCCGCTTAAAAACGTTAGAAAGACCTCTGTCCTTGCTGTTCTTTCCAAAGAACAGGAAAAGACCTGCCAAAGGAACAATACAAAGAGTTTTCCCACATGGGCCTTACTCATCTCTCACAGTAATCAATTTAACTAAGCAGACTTGGAAACTGATTTTATTTATTCATGTATCGTTTATAAATATTCATACATATACATCTACTAAAAAAAAAAAAACTACTTTTTCCTCTCTCAATGTCACCATGTTCCCTCTTGGGACACTGCTGACATGAAAATTAAGTAAGCGCCTTAAAAATCCATGAAGGTGTTTTCTACTAATATGTACAAATGTTCTGGTTTTTTTTTAATTAAGAATACAGTAAAACGTGAACAAATACATTTCAAACTCTTTTCCAATACTTCAAGCTTCATTTATGAACCATGACACTGTCAAAAACAGAGAGTCATGTCAGTGATCCAGGTTACAGTAATGGCTCCTTTCATAGTTATACCAGTATAACAAACAGAGTAAGGTGAAGGCAGAAACAAAGCGCCAAAAAGCAGGAGTTTCAAAAACCACATCTTAGGAAAACATACTTGAGAACATCTTAATCTCCATTAAAAGGAGAACTCCATCAACCTTAATGTCTACATTTGACATGTACATTTTAATTTCCACTTAGCAGCTGTAATAAGAAGGTCAATATTAAAATTCATGGAGAAAAACAGAGCTATTACAGGAAAGATGAGTATACCTGGCAGTCAAAAGAGAAATGAAAGGCTTAGAGTTGTGATTTGACAGAATTATGTATCTATCTAAGAGTGCTGCTATACCAAGTTCAAAAGAGTCAATATGGTATATCAGTCCTCTGAGCGCATAAAATGAGTATAATCTAATGACAAATTAATGTAGCCTGGAAATAAGAGGAAGGTTTTATCATTAAGATTAATCAGGTTTGGAATAGCCTTCCAGTTACAGCAATTATAATAAAAATTACAGCTGATTCTGTCTAAAGTAGAGCTCAGTAAGTTTACAAAAGCTTCTATCTAACAAAACGCCCAGACGGTTCCTCGCAATTAATGAATCAAACACAGTCTACAGAGAAGACAAGATGAACATGCAAAGGAAAGAATATGAGAAAACCAAAGATCCTACCATGGACTAACAGGGAAAACAAAAAAAAAAAAAGGAAATAGAGGTGGTCCTATAAGGAAGTAGTAGCCCATTTAACACTGCTGACAACAAAAGAACAGACAAACGATACCATGACTCTATGATCAACATAAGCCAGTACTGATAGCAAAGCGCTTCTACCACCCTCACTATCATTTGCTTCCTTCAGAAGTGGCATAAGCCAATCAAATATACAGGGTAGCTTTTAGCTGCAGGGACTTCTCAAGTTAAGTTACACTGATCATAAAACCATGACCCAGATAAGCATATCACCCATCGTAGTTTGCTCGACTATAACAAGACTGCAGTTAAGCCCTCCTCTCTAACAACACGCTTCTTCCTCCTTCAGATTGAGACAGTGTGACCAAGCAAGGAAGCCAGTTCAGGAAGTTGTTCTAACTGAAAAGTAAATCAGAGATGGGAAAGAAAGAAAGAAATAGTACTACTTTTTGACCAGATTAGCTCTCTTAACAAACTCACTTCCGGGCTGCGTAGGTTCTGTTGGTGGCACAAGGGAAGAAGCAGCTACAACTCAGACTAGCTTCAATTGTACCTGAAGTACACACCAGGAAGATGGATTCCACAGAAAGCCACATTATGCCCTGGATCTTTCTGCAATCCTGTTCTTAACATCACTAAATCTTAATCTGTGAATCATTGTTTAGAGTGGATGCTATTTTTAACCAAGCATTACTGCATTTCTCTGTAACTATCTTAAAGAAAATGCTGCAGAGGGGAGTACTTCAGATAATTCCCAGATCTAGCTTCAGTTCTTACAATACTGCAACTAATTTGTGTTTACAACACATAACTATATTTGCAGTCCATTTAAGTGTAAACGGCAAACTAACCTCTTCTTAGTATCATATAATCCGTATACACAAACAATATTGGCTACACTCCTACTTGAAACCCTAGACGCATGCTTAATTTGCAGAACTAATTTTATACACCCAGTAACTTTACGCACAGTTTGGAGCATTAGTCAGTCTGAGGGACGCTCAGAATTTAGCCTACATCGAAGGGATTCAGTCAGGCAAGGCCACGCTACCTTGCACGGATTTACAGGGAGAACATGGTGCCTGTAAAACCAACAGCTCTTCTGGGAGACAGGAAATACAGTCACCCTTTACCAAAGTTTTATTTGGAAAGTCACTAACATTGTGAGACTACAGCTTGACAGTGAGAGACAGAAGCTGTTTACCTAGGTGAACTACTTTGGGGGGTTTTTTTTTGGCTGGGTTTGTTTCCGTTTTGAAGAAGAGTTGATGCTTTACATCTTTTCTTCCTCTCCTAAACAAAAGAGCTGATGCAAGCAAAATCCCAGACAAAGACATGTGATAAGTTATGATTAATTTATAAGGTAATCAAAAACAAGCAATCTTAGCAACGCAGTCTTGTAAAAGCGACAGTAAGAGCAAAGTACATGTCACACTTCAGAAACATAAATGAGCAAACTCGCCAAGCGCGTTTAATTCAGAGTGCCACATACCTGCTTCGGATGGCTTCAGCAGCTTTTTGAGCACTCTGCCCGAAAACAAGGATTTCTGGAGCAGATTACAGCGACGGATGGCCTAACTGTAGAAGGGGATTTAAAAATAAAAAATAAAAGTGGAGGAGCCTCAGCCATGTAAACCGCACCGATTTAGGCCACTGCTTTGCTAGTTTTGGCATTTGGGAAGTGACTTCACTTTTCCTCAGAGGGAGGCGGAAGGCGAGGGAACCCTCCCATAACCCTGACTCTTGCCTCGACGCGGAAACAACTTTATCTGTTACATACCCGGCTCCGCTCCTCCCAAAGCGGCACTGCCCCAGCGCCAGCCGCAGCCAGGGACCTCCCCGCGCTGGCGCGCACCACGGC